ACCTCATATCTTATCTTGAGGTTATCTTGAGGTTATCTTGAGATGATTTTGGGGCTTTAGTGTCCCCGCGGCCCGGTCCTCGACCAGGCCTCCACCCCCAGGAAGCAGCCCGTGACAGCTGACTAACACCCAGGTACCTATTTTACTGCTAGGTAACAGGGGCATAGGATGAAAGAAACTCTGCCCATTGTTTCTCGCCGGCGCCTGGGATCGAACCCAGGACCACAGGATCACAAGTCCAGTGTGCTGTCCGCTTGGCCGACCGGCTCCATTCATAGCTCATACTTCTCAGTTCTGGGACTATTCTGCTGGCATAACTCTGAATCTTCTCTAACTGTCTTGTGTTTAACTAGGCATGGACTCCAGGCTGGAGCTGTATACTCCAGGTTCGGTTAGACATAAGTGGTATAGACGGTCCTGAACAATTCCGTACACAAGTTTCTGAAGGCAGTTCTTATGCTGGCCAATCTAGCATATGCCGCTAATGATATCCTTTTGATGTGGGCCTTTGGGGACAAGTTCGGTGAGATATCAACCCACAGATATTTCTATTTGACTCTTGCAGGATTTCACCTCCCAGATGATAACTTGTGTTCAGTCTCCTATTCCCTTCACCTAATTTCATTACTTTACACTTTCCAAAGTTAAACTTTAGTAGCCATTTTCTAGACCATTCCTCCAGTTTGTCCAGGACGTCCTGTAGTCTCTGTCTATCTTCATCTGTCTTGATTCTTCTCATAATTTTGGCATCAGCAAACATTGAGAGAAATGAGTCTATACCCTCTGGAAGATCGTTTATAAATACAGTATCAGAAACAAAATAGGTCCAGCAAAATTCCTGTGGGACTCTGCTGGTGACATCTCGCCATTCTCATGTCTCCATCCAAACAGTTACTCACTGTCTCCTATTGCTTAGTTACTCCCTTATCTACTGGAGCACCTTACCTTTTACTCCTACCTGTTTCTCCAGCTTTTGTAACAGCCTTTTATAGGGGTTATAAATGTAGCTTTATTTTTTTATGGAAATAAGGCTTTGAGTAGAGTATGATGAAACACTACTTCCTGTGCAGTCTCTTGGATGCTGCTCTTTTCCCCCTTTTTTGGCTTTGTCCCCTTTTTCCTAAGCTTGCTTGGCTGGTCTAGGCCCTGTTAACTAGTACAATTATAGTAGTTAGGAGTGATTATTTGCAGTGTGCCAACTAGTACGCTTTATGTTATTACATAATTAGGTTATTACTCTCCACTTCATGCCATGGCAGGCTTGTCCTGTAATGGCTCGCTACATTTATATTTATCTCCATTATCCATACTTTACCCTTGATAAATCTTAACAGAGATTCTTATCAGATTAGATGGTTGTGAGCCTAATGTGGTAACACTGCTAGGCTAAATGGCTTCTGGCTCGGGGAAGCTTCAAAGGAACTGCCCGTGAAGCAGCGTTTCACTATGTTTATCTTTCTTTCTGTGGGGAGCCTCTATGGCTCCCCGGAGCCTACCGGGATTATATGTATGTATTAGACTGTGGCATCAGTCGATTGGAGTTGTCACCTACCGGGGACCACGAGCCAGAAACTGGCTCCCTCAGAGAGGTACGAGGAGCAATGGCCTATGAAAGTCCCCACGTATTTGGAAGCATTCCATGTCTGTCATCGACTGGAGTTTGGCACCCAGAAAGGTAGGCATAACAAAAACCCCACTTAACAAAATTAATTGCTACCAAAGATCGAACAGAGAAACAGAACTCGTCAAATTTTAAAACAAGCAATCATCACACCCCGCCATCGCGTAGCTCGTCCACATAGTCCTCCCCCGTACCCCCATTTAGGCGAGAGGGAGGGCCCCCCCAGTCCCTCCCCGCTGACCGCTCCACCATTCAGTTCTCGGCTGATGTCTGACTGTGGCGATTGTCAACTCTGGCCTCTGATTCAGTGCAGTTTGTGCCTTGTGGTGTATTTCTGCAGTGCAGTGTGCAGGCCAGGAGTAATTGATCTATAGTGGGGCTGTATGCGCCAAGGGCCACCTTTCCTAAGTCCCCTGTAAGAACTGCCCTTGCATTCTAGGGTTACCTTCCACAGGGCGTTTGGAACGCTTCCGTGGGGGTCTTTTGCTGCTTGGCAATTGCCTGCCCTTGGGGACCAGCTGGGGGTGTTCATCGTCACTGTTTGGCTTTGGGTAGGTGGTGGTGTCGTTGCTGGTAGTGGGTGCAAGGTTCTGTGCAGCTTGTCTCCCATTATACATAGCGGCCGGTTCTGTTCCTTTTGGGGTGTTGTGCTTTAGCGGGGTTTCATTTTTCTTTTTGTTTCTTTTGCCTGTTTTTTTTTTGTCCCCTTGGTTCTGATCCACCTTCTGTTGTATCGATGTTCCTCCGCTAAGCCTCTGTGATTGCACACGTTGCAGGGGTTCAGTTTTTAGCAGTTCTCTTGGTAGTTTGGGCCTAACTGGTTAGCAGTACCTTGCCTGGGCTTCCCTTAGCAGTCAGCCTAAGGGCCCTGGAAAACCCCATTGGGGCTCATTGGGCCAATAGATGCATCCTCTGGGTTCCAACTCACTATATACATCCGCAGATGACATCCTGGCAGACGGCATGTCTTCGTTCAATTCCCTGTCCACGTAATAGACGGTCGACGCCTACTCCTTCAGTTGGCTCTGCCGGACGTACGGACATCTGGATGTGGACCTCTTCGTGTCGGCATGGTCCCGGTGTCTTCCCATGTACGTGGAGCCCTTACCCGATGGCGAGGCCTTTGCGGTAGATGCTTTTCGGGGGGACTGGTCGAGGTTGGGTTACCTTTAACTCTTCCCCCCGGTTCGGCTGTTGCTTTGGGTCCTGGCTTGGTTGGAGACTTACCAGGGAAGAGTAGTCCTGTTGGCCCCTTGGTGGCCAGCCCAGCCTTGGTTTCAGGCACTGCTTGCTTGGTGTCTGAACCCGAGGTGTTTTTCGCGGCTCCGCCTCTTTCAGCAGATCGGGCGGGTCTGGTACGTGGCTGGTTCGATCTACTCCTCCGCTTTTCGCTTCTGGTCTTTTTGATGCGGGAGTATCACCATTTGTATGGTGATCAGGTGGCTTTTCCCTTATCACCATTTGTATGGTGATCAGGTGGCTTCTTTGATGGTGTCCCACCTGCGAGCTTCGTCTAGGTGACAATATGAAGTTTCCAAGAGTTCTTTTTGCCATTTTCTCTCCCTCCGTAGGTTGTCGTCTATTTTTTGATCAGGTTGTTTTGTCCTTTCTTGGCTTTTTCAGGACTGTCATTTGATGTTTAATACTGTCGCCTCATATCATGCGGCGCTGGCGGAGATGCTTCAGCTTGCATTCAGGGTGGATGTTACTTCTGCTCCGTTCCACATACTTTCTCGTGCTTTGTTTCACCTCCGACCTGCTCATGCACCGCCTCAGCTGTCCTGGTCCTTGGACCGGGTGCTAACTTTTCTCTCTTCCTTAGGTTTGTGGTGGCCCCTTCAGTTCACGATTATTTTTCTAAGGGTCTCTTTCTGTTGGCTTTGGCCTTTGTGGGTCAGGTCGGGGAGCTTCATGCTCTCCTCTGGCGCAGGGGTTTCTGCTCCTTCAGTCCTGGTGGTATTCACCTAGTTGTGCTTGTGGGGTTGAGCTCTGCTCTTTTGACCCGCCTCTCAACTGTCAATCAACTGTTACTATTTTATTCTCACCCTCCCCAGGAAGCAGCCCATAACAGCTGTCTAACTCCCAGGTACTTATTTACTTCTAGGTAACAGGGGGCATCAGGGTGAAACTTTGCCCATCTGTTTCTGCGGGCGCCAATAATCAAACCCCGATCCATAGGATTACGTATCCAGCGTGCTGTCCACTCGGCCACCAGTGCCCCTGGTAGGTTTCTTCAGTTGCAGCCGTCTCCTTTTCTGGTGAAGACCAAGTCGGCAGCTTTCCAGAGGGGCCCTTGGGTCGTTGATGCTTGGTTGGTCAGGCCGGGGAGCTTTGTGTGTTGTGTCCGGCTACGGTTCTTCGCCGTTACCTGCGCGTCATGGCCTCTGTGGCCGGGGGATGCACTTTGGGTCAACCCGGTTTCCCTTATTCCCTGATCCAGGGCTTGGGTCTCCCAGGTCGTCTGCAAGGTTATTCAGTCCAGCCAGACTGTGGTCTCTCCTCGTGTGTACAACGTTTGTAAGTTTGCTGCTTTGGCTGCCATCTTTGGTAACATGTCTTGGCTGACATTTGGGCACGAGGATTTTGGAGGTTGAACATGGTCCAGGCCGCTCATTACTTGGTCAACGTTCCTGGCAGTAGTCGGGCGTGTGTCACTTTGGGTCGCAGGCTGCAGCCAGTTGTCTCAACTGTGAGTTGAGGAGCGAGTGGCATCTGCCTCCAGGGTAAGTCCCTCTTGTTTTTTTTCTTTGGTCAAGTAGTTCTAGGGAGCCATAGGAACTCCCCACAGAAAACCTGCATTGAATGTAATGAAACGCCTTTCTGGGTGAGCTCAGGAGGCTCCCCGGAACCCACCCTCTCTCCGATTGGCAGGTTTTGCGTTGTTTTTGAAGCTCAGACTCAGAACTGAATGGTGGATCAGCCGGCACAGAGGGGTCTTTGGGGGTGGGGGGGAGATGGGGGTTTCATTACACCCAACGCTGGGGTTTTTCCCCCATTTTAAAATTTCCTTCTTAATTTATGTAACCTGAACTTTAATAAATTAAGTTAAAATTACTTAATAAAATCTGGTTGTAAATAGTAGTGAATACTATGTTAGAGATGCAGAACTGTGAGTAGACAACAGGGATAAGAACGTCCAGTGAATCTGGCCACTGGTCGTTCAACAGAGGTAAAAATCCTACGACCCGAAATGTGGTCACATTATGTAGAAAAATTGACAAGTTAGAGCACGAGACAACATGGCTGAGAGAACCATTAGTAGTAGTAGGCATCCATTAATCTCAGGAGACTATGGAGTTGCACTCCTGTTGTCAGTCTACTACACAAGCCATAACCTGACACGGCATCCATCCAGTAGAACTATCCTGTAAACACTAACCCAAGAGCAGAAGCTTCACTTCTCTGGCAGCACGTTCTCCAGCAAGTCTCAGGTCCCTGTCAATTTTTTTGCTTCTTTCTGCTGCTTCTTTGTCAGCAGCTGTACTCATCGCACACCCCATGGCTGCTGATGGGTGAGAGTGTCGCCCCCCTGAAATATAAAATTTTGTTGCTTAGACTATATACATGTAGCATACCAAATCTCTTTAGCCTTAATAAATATCATCTTACCACGGTATTGTATTGCTTAGATTTTGTTAAATTCCTAACTCCATCATTAACCCTTAGGTGGTTATTGTATATTGATTCCCTGGGCAATGTGGACATTGTCATATGACGATTTAAACAATTATTTTCTGGGTTTTACACACATGATGCAATTAAGGATATAATAGGTCTATGTGGATGTAATGGAGTTTACCTTGACCTTTGAAAGAAATCCTGCTACCATTACATGGTTACTAATGCAGTTATCATCATGAATGTTACTAGGGGAATGCAGTCATCATGATGGTGATTTAAACAATTATTATCTGAGTTTCACATGTATGATGCAAATATGGATATAAAAGCTCACTGTGGATGTAAATAAAGAAAAACAAATGATAAAACAATCGGAGGATAAAAAAGGAAGTAATTACCCAAGTGTAGTTACAGGATGAGAGCTAAGCTCATGGTGTCCCGTCTTCCCAGCACTCTGTCACATAACGCTTTGAAACTACCGACGGTTTTGGCCTCCACCACCTTCTCCCCTAACCTTAGGTGAGGGTTTTGTCTCAACCTTTGGTGAGTGTGTCAGCAAAGTTGAGCACCTGGCATTGACAAGTGCCAGATACAGCCTTGCTGAGCGCCTCCACCCATTGAAACAATAAATATTCACTTAATTTTGTGCTTTTCTTACACACTGCATACAAATGAATAATTCTATAATGAAACATTTGTTTTTAGATTTTTTTTTTTTGTGCATAGACAATATGACCATTTTTTCATAGCTGGTGTTCAAGGGCTGAAAACAGAGGTGTAAACTGGCCATTTTTCAAAGACCAGGCCAGGACATCGATTTATACTGGTTAGCAACAAGTGCCTGTTTAACCCCTGCACTGCAAGGGTTAAACACTATAATATACTCTACTACTTATTACAATAAGAATATATTTAAATGGATATTTACATAGAAATTCTTGCTGTAACAGTTAGTCTTCTAAAAGCAGGGAAAAAACTTGTTTAAATATGTCCATATTTTGCATGCTAGGAAACAGGCACAACAATATCATATTAATATATGGTAAACTTGACATATGAACATGCAATAATTACTGCTAGTCTTGTGATCCCATTTGGCTCAAGGAATGGAACAAAAAACTGTGCACCTTGCTTTCCTATTAGTTAACACAAACTAACAGGATATGTATTGACCATTACTACTACCCCACATAGGGTATTTGAGTATTAAAATAAAGATGAACCAAGCTAAAAAATATTCAGGTAGAGACAACTGTCACATTAAATAAAAACTAAAATACAATTAATTAAGTACAAGAAAATACTGCCAGCCAAAGATCAAGAATTTAAACCAGATATGCTACACGACGATACTAATGCATACACAACTGCGTTGGTATTCTAACTGGACTACTACTGTGTATAATATACACAAGCAGCCAAGCAGCTTCACTGAATGTAAAGATTACCACCACACAACACAGCCTGCCTGGCTGACAAGGTCAACACACAGCCTTGTATACCGACTCGTCACGTGTATTTCCATCCAAAACAATTACTGCCAGCAGAGCACTGGGTAGATGTAGAGTGGTTATCTTGAGGTTATCTTGAGATGATTTCAGGGCTTAGTGTCCCCCGTGGCCCGGTCCTCGACCAGGCCTCCTTTTTGTTACACATCGCCAGGAAGCACCCTGTAGTAGGTGTCTAACTCCCAGGTACCTATTTACTGCTAGGTAACAGGGGCATCAGGGTGAAAGAAACTCTGCCCATTTTGTTTCCGCCTTCGCAGGGGATCGAACCCGGAACCTCAGGACTACGAATCTGAAGTGCAGTCTACTCAGCTGTCAGGCCCCCCTCAGGTGGCGGGTAGTCTTATGAGACAATGTGTAACCTATTGTTCGGGAACTAGAGGTATACTTTCCACCAACACCTGCTACTAGTCTCATGTGAATGTATAAACTCCAACATCTACTCACAACAATAACTGCCCCAGTTCAAAATAACACATTGTATTTCACATAATATTACCTAAGCACATGCAAAGAGAAATGCAAATACTGTACAGTATGTTGCTTTTTAGTGCCCTCGCGGCCCAGTCCTCGACCAGGCCTCCACCCCCAGGAAGCAGCCAGTGACAGCTGACTAACACCCAGGTATCTATTTACTTCTAGGTAACAGGGGCATAGGGTGAAAGAAACTCTGCCCATTGTTTCTCGCCGGCGCCCGGGATTGAACCCGGGACCACAGGATCACAAGTCCAGCGTGCTGTCCGCTCGGCCGACCGGCTCCCCGGTCGGGGAGGGTAAGTAGGGTGTTGGGAGAGAGAGGGGAAGAGTCGGGAGGGATTGTCTTGGGAATGAGGGGTCTATCATCTGTAGCGTACAGTAAACCAAGAATTGTGTTACAAAATTCATTAGAGTAAAAACTAAAGCTATATTATCTAATATCATAAATACAAATTTTTAAAAACTATGTGTACAGACTGTAGTTTCCTGCTAAAATTTAGGGGTCTTTCTGTGGGGAGCCCCGTTGGCTCCCTGAGGCTATCATACTAAATTAGTGCCATACTACTTGAGTGTTATCAGTCGCAGAGTTCTTTGTTAGCCTACCGGAGACCACGAGCCAGAACCTGGTCCCCTCAGAGAAGCGAAGGGAGCCAGAACCTGGTCCCCTCAGAGAAGCGAAGGGAGCCAGAACCTGGTTCCCTCAGAGAAGCGAAGGGAGCCAGAACCTGGTCCCCTCAGAGAAGCGAAGGGAGCCAGAACCTGGTCCTCTCAGAGAAGCGAAGGGAGCCAGAACCTGGTCCTCTCAGAGAAGCGAAGGGAGCCAGAACCTGGTCCTCTCAGAGAAGCGAAGGGAGCCAGAACCTGGTCCTCTCAGAGAAGCGAAGGGAGCCAGAACCTGGTCCCCTAAGAGAAGCGAAGGGAGCCAGAACCTGGTCCCCTCAGAGAAGCGAAGGGAGCCAGAACCTGGTCCCCTCAGAGAAGCGAAGGGAGCCAGAACCTGGTCCCCTAAGAGAAGCGAAGGGAGCCAGAACCTGGTCCCCTAAGAGAAGCGAAGGGAGCCAGAACCTGGTCCTCTCAGAGAAGCGAAGGGAGCCAGAACCTGGTCCTCTCAGAGAAGCGAAGGGAGCCAGAACCTGGTCCCCTAAGAGAAGCGAAGGGAGCCAGAACCTGGTCCCCTCAGAGAAGCGAAGGGAGCCAGAACCTGGTCCCCTCAGAGAAGCGAAGGGAGCCAGAACCTGGTCCCCTCAGAGAAACGAAGGGAGCCAGAACCTGGTCCCCTAAGAGAAGCGAAGGGAGCCAGAACCTGGTCCTCTCAGAGAAGCGAAGGGAGCCAGAACCTGGTCCCCTAAGAGAAGCGAAGGGAGCCAGAACCTGGTTCTTTATATTTAAAGTATGTCATCTTGATATCAACCAGGGAAGGCACCCAGAAAGGTAGGAGAATCAAAACAAGACCACTGTCTGGTTGAAAAGTGTGATCTACATCCCCACAAGCACAAAAGAGTTCCCCCAGAAAGCAAACAAGAAAACCTTTGTCAAAAGCACGCCCGCTTGTTAGCTCCACCCCCCCCCCCCCCTTCCCCCGGGAGCCAGCCTGGCTAAGTCGGGTCGCCCTCAGTCAGTCCTTTGAATGGTGAAAACTGCCAACCTTAAGGAGGGATGGAGGGTGTCGGGGTGGCTCCGGGGCTCACCCAGAAACTGCCATTTCATTACATTCAACGCTGGTTTTTTTCCCCACCTGCAGCCTATGTAACATGCCCTGCCTGCCTCAAGTGGACCCGTCCAGGCCATGTGCTCTCGACCCCTCATTATATACTGTACTACAGTGCCACACCATTAGTGAAACATTTTCTTAAGTAACTTTTTTGTTTCCAAGTAACCTTGATAGTTTTTTTGGGGGGGCCAAGACTATGTCTGGTAGCAGCAACAGTAGCAATCATCGCAGAGGTATTAAGAGGAAGAAAAGGTTATGCTAACAACATCACAGACAACCAAATGTAGTTTACTCATGTCTTCTGTTAACGTGTGAAATAATTTCTCATCCAACTGTGCTAATCCAGGAGTTGGAAACATGTATCAGTACTCGAGGTGAACCAAAGAGCTACAAGGTGAACCAAAGATAAGAGGGGCCAGTGTACATAGGAGGCAAGATAAACTTGATTCTTATTTGTTAAGAACAGCAAGCAAAGGACCTTAAACCAGTGAGGCATCACAAGCAAGACAGGGTCCTTCAACCAGTGAAGCCTCACAAGCAAGACAGGGACCTTCAACCAGTGAAGCCTCACAAGCAAGACAGGGACCTTCAACCAGTGAAGCCTCACAAGCAAGAGAGGGACTTTCAACCAGTGAAGTCTCGCAAGCAAGACAGGGACCTTCAACCAGTGAAGCCTCACAAGCAAGACAGGGGTCCTTCAACCAGTGAAGCCTCACAAGCAAAACAGGGACCTTCAACCAGTGAAGCCTCACAAGCAAGACAGGGTCCTTCAACCAGTGAAGCATCACAAGCAAGACAGGGACCTTCAACCAGTGAAGTCTCGCAAGCAAGACAGGGACCTTCAACCAGTGAAGTCTCACAAGCAAGACAGGGGTCCTTCAACCAGTGAAGTCTCGCAAGCAAGACAGGGACCTTCAACCAGTGAAGTCTCACAAGCAAGACAGGGACCTTCAACTAGTGAAGTCTCACAAGCAAGACAGGGGTCCTTCAACCAGTGAAGTCTCGCAAGCAAGACAGGGTCCTTCAACCAGTGAAGTCTCACAAGCAAGACAGGGACCTTCAACTAGTGAAGTCTCACAAGCAAGACAGGGACCTTCAACTAGTGAAGTCTCACAAGCAAGACAGGGACCTTCAACTAGTGAAGTCTCACAAGCAAGACAGGGACCTTCAACTAGTGAAGTCTCACAAGCAAGACAGGGACCTTCAACTAGT